AGTTGTAAATGCTCCAACACTGGAAGTTTTTAAGAAGAGATTGGACAACCATTTGTCTGAAATGGTATAGGGCCGTGATGGCGAACCTATGGCACACGTGCCACAGGTGGCACGCGGAGCCATATCAGTGGGCATGTGACCTCAGCTCCGGCGCACATGCGCACTCCAGCCAGCTAATTTTCAGGCCTTATGGGCCCACCGGAAGTAGGGAAACAGCCTGTTTCCTGCCTCCGGAGGGCCTGGGAGGGTGGGGAAGGCCCGTTTTTTGCTCTCCCCAGCCTCCAGAGCCTCTCTAGCTCCAGCTCTGGGGAGAGCAAAAAATGGGCCTTCCAGTCCCACCGGAATTTGGCAAACGGGCCGTTTCCTGCCTTGGGGGGGGAGGCAGTTTTCACCCTCCCCAGGCTCCTAGAGAGGCTATGGAGCCTGGGGAGAGCAAAAAACAGGCCTACCGGGCCCCCGTGCCATTGCATGCCAAAAGCAAGGAGAGCGGGGAGGGGGTTGCACACGCATGCATGGAGCGCATAGAATTATGGGTGTGGGTACACACGTGTGCGACACCCCCCCCACACTCACACTTTTGGCACGCGATGGCAAAAAGGTTAGCCATCACTGGTATAGGGTTTCCTGCCTAAGCAGGGGGTTGGACCAGAAGATCTCCAAAAACCCTTCCAACTCTGTTATTCTATTCTGTTGCTACTTGTGACCTTCACTGCCAGCTTCTGACAAGCAGAGTGAATGGGATTGCTGGCAGCAGGTTGCAAATGGCGATCAGATGGTGTTGCACCTAATGAACCACGTGGGATTTGCTTAACAAGGGCAACTGGAACTGCCAGAACTGCCATTGTCAGCCAGAGTGGCCATATGACATTATGCTTTAGAACCGTGTCACTCAGTGACAGGAGTTTCTGGTTCCAATTACCATCATTAACCAAGGACTACATTTATCACATTCAGAGGGATAATATCATTACGTTTGTAAAAAGGGAGGATAGCGGCAGCATCAGATGGGTGAATAAATGTTAGTCTAATAAATCAATTGGGCATAATGGCTTTCATCTCATGGACAGCTTGCAGGGGCTTGTTAGTTTCTTCAACCAAGACAAGAACTTGATAACCTTTGAAAAGATGTCTTCTTCTGTGCTCTGAGCTATCCATATGTTCTATTAGCATGCTCCTCTTTGGCTTTAATGAAGCTAATTGTTGCACTGATCATCATGAATATTAAGAAAAAGTGCTGAACATAATAAATGTCTAAAAAATTAGATATGCATACAGATTAATAATGCAGTAAAAGAGCTGTATTCTCTGGATTTGTCTAAATGCCTAAAAATAAACGGAACAGAAAATATGGGGTTTCATTACAGAAAATGCATCTTAGTAGTGAATATCTGTTCAGGTTTTCTTATAAGATAATCAGGACTATTTTACCATATATGTTATGTATAAAGTACTGTACTGGTCATAACGGCATGAACTACTTCTGTGGTGATACTTAAATCAGCAATTGTATTATACAGTAGACCTACATTTCTAAAGAAAGAGTGGTTGGATGACACATGCATGCCCACAGGTTTTTTTTTTTTAATGAGGCACTGGCCTGGTTTGCACATTATTCTAGCCAGAATTTTAAACAATGGAATGTAGAATAGGCCCCAGAGACATAGTCAGCGCATCATACTGAATTATTTATTTATTTGCAGGGTTTTTTATAGCTCTCCCCAGTCACGAACTTCTGGGCTGATTATAACAGAGTGAAAATTAAAGCGATACAAAAATATATGTAATATATAATAATAATATATAATTATATATATATTATATAATTATAATATATAAGAGGATGCAGTGGGTCACTGGCTAAGACGCTGAGCTTGTCGATCAAAAGTTCGGCAGTTCAGCGGTTTGAATCCCTAGTGCCGCGTAACGGGGTGAGCTCCCGTTACTTGTCCCAGCTTCTGCCAACCTAGCAGTTTGACAGCACGTAAAAAATGCAACTAGAAAAATAGGGACCACCTTTGGTGGGAAGGTAACAGTGTTCTGTGCGCCTTTGGCGTTTAGTCAATGCAGCCACATGATCACGGAGACTTCTTCGGACAGCACTGGCTCTTCGGCTTTGAAGCGGAGATGAGCACCACCCCCTAGAGTCGGGAATGACTAGCACATATGTGCGAGGGGAACCTTTACCTTTACCTTTTTAACAGGCAAAGGTGTGATGGGTGGCATAGAAATTTGATAAACCAATCAATAAAATATACCTCTATTAGCTCTATACATGAAATATCTCTCCAAAAATAAAAAAAACCTTAACAGCTTAGCATTATGACTTCTTAAAAGGGAAGGATTCAGTTTATACTAGGTATTTTTTTAATAATCTACATTACCTGAATGAGATAGCTTCATAATTGGTTTAATGGAAACTTTTCATTTCTTGTCCCAAAGGTGATTTTTCAAAAGGCAACTGGACTTCCTTTGTTTTTGTTTTTGTTTATTTATTTATTTATTTTGTCAAATATATACAAGATAACAGGTATAAGAATAAACATGGACATGGACATGAACACAGGAAATGAGTACTAATAAATGGGGATGGTAGGACAGGGACCGTAGGCATGATGGTGCGCCCTTGAAAACATATCACTTCTCATCTAAGAAGCTTCTTCAGTTTTGACTGAATGGTGGGAGTGGATGGATTTATATTCCTTGCAGTCATCTTGTCTTTAGCACTCTGAAGAGTGGCTCCCTGAAGTGCCCATGTGTGCACTGGAAACCAAAAGAGCAGCTGGCGATACACATGTGCCCACAGAGAGGGCTCCGTGTGCCACCTCTGGCACCCGGGCCATAGGTTCACCATCACGGACCTAGCATCTATAATGGCAGCTTGTACATAGTGACAAAAGCTCCTGTAGTTGCAAACATTAACTGTGATTAATGCATTAATTAATGTGATTAATGTAGAGGTATGTTGGAGGAGAACAAGAGAAGATTGTATATCAGTTGCAACATGCAACTTTTGCATTATGAGTAGCTAAACATTTGATTATCGGTTCCAAGGAGATGTATGACTATTGCTGACCTACATTTCTTCCTGAGTCCTCTTGTTGGAATGCCTAGTAAGAATAGCAAGTTGTGTGTCATCCTTGTATTTGACATTTTCCCAGCCTTCCTGCAGAGCTTAAGAAATATCAAACATCACAACACTACATCTGACATATATATTTTTTTTACTAAATGAAACTTTGAAAAGACGAGTTAGTGGCAAACCTCTTCATGTGACAATACAGGATCAGTGAGATTTTTCAGATTTACTCGTGATGAGAAGATCTGGCAATAGCACATGAGAATTATTGAAGATGGAAAACATGATACTGTTCCTATGAACTGAAACAGGATGATTAGTAATTATAAACAATGTAATAGTAATAAAGAGACAGTGGATGAATAGAAATGTTAACTAATATCTTTCTGTTGAACTCAGTTACTTCTGATATCATGAATATTGTTTAACCCTTCATTTGTGTGCGACTTTATAGGCAAGTGTTGTCCATGTTATCTTCAAGCATAGCCTCTTACAGTTGTTGGATGTTCATCTTTGTATCGGTTTTGATGTTATCAAGCCACCGTGTTCTTTGTTTGCCCCGTCTTCTTGTTCCACTGACCACCATTCCTAGCATCATTGACTCCTCCAATGAATTTGCATGCATGACATGGCCAAAGTAAATCAGACACAGTCTTGTGATTTTGACTTCTAATGATGTGTCTGGTTTTATACGACTTAGCACCTCTGTTGTCTGCTCTGGCTGTATCATGTATTCATGTATCATGAATACCATGTATTGATGTATACATGATATTCCTGATACATGAATATCATGTATACATGAATAGGATGTTATCTACGGGACCGCCTACTACCACCAATAGCCTCCCACCGGCCGGTACGCTCTCATAGAGAGGGGCTCCTCTGGCTGCCGTCGGCCAAACAATGTCGACTGGCGGCCCCTAGGGGGAGAGCCTTCTCTGTGGGGGCACCTACTATCTGGAACAAGCTCCCCCCGGAGATACGGAGGATCCCAGATCTGCGCACCTTCCGCTGCGCTCTTAAAACCTTTTTATTCAACCAGGCGGGCCTGGCCTAATTTTTTCCCTCTTTTTAATTATGCAAATTTTAATCGGTTTTTAAAATGATTGGGATGTTTTAATCTGTCTGGGCCAAATTGTTTAATTCGATTTTACTTTGTAAAATCGACTCCCTGAGTCCTTTGGGAGTAGGGCGGTATAGAAATCAAATAAAGTAAGTAAGTAAGTAAGTAGGATGCACTAATAATAGATCTCTAAGCCTAATTCTATCTCATTCACTGGCCATGATAATTCATTTAAAAAGTCTGCAGTGGTTTGCACGGTGACAGAGTCATTGACTAAGATGGGCGGCTACAGAAATTTAATAAATAAATAGTGGCAAGCCATTTTAGAGTTTAAGCGATTAATTCCAACCAATTAGGATGCATATTTTAATTTCCTTGGTGAGATCTGCCCTTCTATATAAAGGAAGTAGCCATCACCTTTTGTTCCATTTGGCTCTCTCAGGCAACGTGTCAGTATTGCTTAGTGGCCAAACTCATCCTGTTTTCTTATTTTTACATGCTAATTAACCTTATGCTAGGCAGTCAGATGTTCATTAGCATGAGCAGGGAAAGCATTTTATCCGCAGAAGCTTCTGTGAAGTTATGTAGAAGTGTTAAGGCTATTCCGTAGATGCTATTTAGGATGACCATGTTCAGTTCTCTAGAGTGGAACCAGTCTTTAAAACAGCAGCAGGGAGTGTTGAGATCTGCTTTTTAGAGGCATTTTTTGGTGCTGATGAGAAGAAGATACCGCATTATCTTTTAATTAGAGCCGGCAGTGCTTATTCTGATGGGTTTTTTAAATTGTTCTTTTAAAATAAATCATGCAGAATTTCAGCATGCTGGAAAATGATATCTACAGCCACTTTTATGTTACAGAGGAATGATGAGGAGGCGGTGGTGGACCAGGGAGGAACACGCTCCATCCTCAAGACGCATTTTGAAAAGGAGGACTTGGAAGGTGAGCTGCTTATTTCTGATTCAAGCTTTTATTTCTTTGAAACACGTGTAAAGAAGGTACGATACTGCTAAACTTCAACCAGCTCAAAAGTTCGGAAGTCATCTTAGTTTTGGACTCCTTCCTCCCCACTCCACAATTCCTGATGACAATTTGGGATTGAATTTTTTTTTAAAAAGAGCAATGAGGTGGAAAATGTGGAAGTGCCTCAGGCAGATTCCTCCTTAATTCACTGACAGTTTAAGGAGAAGGACATACATAGTTCTCAGAAAAGGACCATTTGCTCAGCAACCGTTTGAAGTTACAATGGTACCGAACAAGTGGTCCTTGAATTCTGGCTGTCCCAGCACCCCTAGACTCACCTGATTGTGATCTGGGTGCTTGTCAACTGGCTCACACTTACTTTGGTTGCAGCATCCTACAGCACGTGATCACTATTCTTTGCTGGCTTCTCACAAGCAAAGTCGATGAGGGAGCTGGCAAGGAAGGTCGCAACTTGTTCTAGTAAACCGCTTGCACTCCACTCCACTCAGCAGCAGCCATCCCTGGCTTGTCTGCAATCATGCCATGTCTTCTGGCCATCCGTGCATGTTTCCCTGCCTGGTAGTAGCTACTAAGTCATGACAGTCATAAGTCGAGGCACTCATGTGACCAGACCTGGTTTTATGAGATTTACACAGCAGTCGTTAAGTGAATGCCACTGTCGTTAAATGAATCAATATATTCCTATGGTGTTTTTTGCATGGAAGCCATCAATCACGATCCCCTGAGCACTGAACGCTGCAACCAGCCATGAAGATGAGTCAGTTGCCAAATGCCTGAAATGTAGTTATGTAACTGTGGGAGTGTGTGCAGCCGTCAGAACTCCGGAACTGGGTTGCACAGGTAATCCTTGATTTAGGGCCACAATTGAGCCCACAATTGTTAAATGAGATATTTGTTAAGTGAATTTTATTTATTTACATCTCCATCCCAGACCACCCCAACGATGCCCTTGAAGTGATGACCCGGTGCCTGGAGACCGTACGGATCTGGATGGGGAGAAACAGGCTCAGGCTCAACCCATCCAAGACCAAGTGACTGTGGTTTCTGATGTCCCAATATAGTCAGCTGGTGCCATTGCTGACTATTGGGGGTGAATCATTGGCCCCCACAGAAAGGGCTCGCAACTTGGGTGTCCTCCTGGATTCACGGCTGTCTTTAGAAGAGCACTTGACGGCCGTGACCGGGAGGATTTTTCATCAGGTTCACCTGATCCGCCAGTTGCGTCCCTTTCTAGATTGGGACTCCTTACGCACAGTCACTCATGCCCTCGTCACCTCCCGTCTGGACTATTGTAACGCTGTCTACATGGGGCTCCCCTTGAGGAGCACTCGTAGGCTCCAACTGGCGCACAGTGCAGCTGCATGGGTGGTGATGGGAGCGACATGGTGCTCCCATGTAACACCTCTCCTGCGTGAGCTGCACTGGCTCCCGGTGGTCATCCGAGTGCGCTTCAAGGTTTTGGTTATCACCTTTAGAGCGCTCCATGGCTTAGGACCTGGTTATCTACGGGACCGCCTGCTACCACCAATAGCCTCCCACCGACCAGTACGCTCCCATAGAGAGGGGCTCCTCCGGGTGCCATCGGCCAAACAATGTCAACTGGTGGCCCCCAGGGGGAGAGCCTTCTCTGTGGGGGCACCTACTATCTGGAACGAGCTCCCCCCGGAGATACGGAGGATCCCGGATCTGCGTACCTTCCGTCGCGCGCTCAAGACTTTCTTATTTCATCAAGCTGGCCTGACCTAAGTCTTTCCCCTTTTTAAATGGAAATTTTAAATTTGTTTTTAAATTATTGGGGTTTTAAATTTGTTCAGTCAAATTATTTAATTCCTTTTATTTTATTTTAAATTTTGTATTTATATGTTTTATTCTATGGCTGTTCACCGCCCTGAGTCCTTCGGGAGTAGGGCGGTATATAAATTCAATTAAAAAAAAATATTTATTTATTAGTCCAATTTATATGCCGCCCTTCTCCGTAGACTCAGGGCAGCTTACAATGCATTATAGCAATAGCCTGCCTACTTTTATGTATATACCTGCTTATTAGGGCTTTTGCCCCCCCCCAAGCGGTGTTGTTCTATACAAAGTTGGCTTATTGCCGCCACAATCCGGGTCCTCAATTTACTTATCTTGAAAGGATGGAAGGCTGAGTCAACCTTGAGCCTGGTGAGATTCGAACTTGCACTAATTGCAGGCAGCTGGCAGCCAAGTGCTAGCACTTAACAGCACTTTAATCCGCTGCACCACCGAGGCTCTTAATTTTGCCCCATTTTGCGACTTTTCTTGCCTCAGTTGTTAAGTGAATCATTGCGGTTGTAAAATTAGTAACCCGGTTGTTCAGTGAATCTGGCTTCCCTATTGACTTTGCTTGTCAGAAGGTCACAACAGGGGATCCCATGACCTTGGGACACAGTAACAGCCGTAAGTGTGAACTAGTTGCCAAGCATCTGAATTTTGGTCATGTGATGCTGCAAAGATCGTAACTGTGAAAAACGGTCCTAAGTCACTTTTGTCAGTGCCATTGTAATTTTGAACAGTCACTAAACAAATTGTTGTAAATCGAGGACTACCTGTAATTAGCTTTTGAGGGAGTCCATTGTAACTGTTGGGTGACTGTTTGTTAAATGATGACTGTTCTGTCCCCGTTCCACTCACGCACCCCCACAGACAGCCCGGAGTTAATAAGCCACACGACAAAACTCTTTGATGATAAAGCTGGCAGCAACCCAGTGGCTAGCTGCCAATTCAGACTTTACTCACACAAAACAAAGATTAGACTGCCAGCATTCCGATAAAACAGGCAGAGTGTCAACAATACAAGGATTCATCCAAATGCAGTCCGATAAAGCAGGCAAAGTCCAGTAATAGAGATCATGGAGTATTTCCAGTTTTTGCTCGTCACAAACTGAACCGGCCACCACACCCACATTTATACCCTGTGGGGTGTGGTCCAGTGACTCAGCTAATCTCTGGCATGCCTTCCCCTCTGCTGCGCACGCTTCTCCCTGCGCCTCTGGCGAGGGTCCAGCCAGCACTTATCTCCTTCGTCACTGTCAAACCTGTGGCTGCAGGGACATGCTTGGCTCTGAGTCTATCGTTTGGCCTTCGGTGTCCTCTGGAGGCATTGCCAGAGAGGAGGGTCCTGGAGAGGGAGGCCTTGCCAACTCCTCCCCCTCACTCTCAGAGTCTGCATCTGTCGATAGCCCAGGCTCAGGCAACGGAGCCACAACAGAGGACTACCTATATTTTGCTGTCAGATTTATAAGGCCTTCTTCGCTAAAAAACATAGTAATATTGAATTTTGTTGTTGTTAGTTGCGAAGTCATGTCCGACCCATCGCGACCCCATGGACAACGTTCCTTCAGGCCTTCCTGTCCTCTACCATCCTCTGGAGTCCATTTAAGCTCACACCTACTGCTTCAGTGACTCCATCCAGCCACCTTGTTCTCTGCCGTCTTCTTCTTCCTTTCCCTCCATCTTTCCCAGCATTAGGCTCTTCTCCAGTGAGTCCTTCCAAACATTAAAAGGAAATTCATAGTAGGGGCAGACTTACCTATATACTTATTACCATTCATTACTAATCTCATCAATTTGGGTGAGATTATCTCCTTTAAAACATGGAGCTTTCATTTACATTTTATTTCATATTTGGGGAGTTAGTTGACCCAGAAAGAAAAGCTCCAGTCTGCTCATTTAAGAATTACATAGAAAGCTAGATATTCTTCAGTTTCCTTCTAGATGTCCTAATGTTCCCTTTTATTCGTATCCATTTCATGTATTCATAATCATTTTTATATTTATATCTGTTATCTAATATATGCTTGATGAAATAAATAAAATAAAATAAAATAATAGATCCCTAGGCTGAATTGATTGATTTGACAAGCTAAAAACCTCTTGGCCACTTCTGTCTTTTGTATAGAACATCCCTACTGGTTATTTTTATACCATACCTTTTGCTGTGACCTTATTCACTGAGACACAAAATGCAGGATCATTGTGTCAGATGACTTGTTTAGATCAAGTCGGAGAGTATACCTCAGCCTCAGAATGCTGTAAAAAAAGACAGCAACGCAATCCCTGCCTGGAAAGAAAATAAAAATAAATGTTTGCTTTATAATAGTATACTGTTAAATGCATGCTCATTATACATTTAGGATAAAGATACACTTTACCTTTATCTTAAATGTAGAATCCTAAATTTATCACAGGTAGTGATTTATTATGATCAGGCAGTTTATTTCTTCAGATGTGTTTGTGAAAGCTTTGTATGAATTACATACTAATAGGAAACCCTTCACGATTTTACCGACATCTGTTTGCATCATGGGACATCTCTCCTCTCTGCTTCAGACTTTTAAAACTAGCTATGAAATGTTTCCAGGTTTTGGAAAATACTTTTTGAAAGTGCCTATGGCCTACAGGGATGTGGTGGCTCAGTGGCTAAGACACTGAGCTTGTCAATCAGAAGGTCAGCAGTTCAGCGGTTCGAAGCCCTAGCACCATGTAATGGAGTGAGCTCCCATTACTTGTCCCAGCTTCTGCCAACCTAGCCGTTTGAAAGCACGTAAAAAATGCAAGTAGAAAAATAGGGATCCCCTTTGGTGGGAAGGTAACAGTGTTCCGTGTGCCTTCGGCATTTAGTCATGCCGGCCACATGACCACGGAGACGTCTTTGGACAGTGGTGGTTCTTTGACTTAGAAACGGAGATGAGCACCGCCCTCTAGAGCCAGAAACGACTAGCACATATGTGCGAGGGGAACCTTTACCTTTACCTTTATGGCCTACAGGAGGGAACTGAGTTACATTTTTTAGGCTGTGCTGTAGTAGAAGGACCACCCTAGCTTCCACTATTTGTAACAAAAAATGTGCAGTTAATTACCTTTTAATTTCTGCACACCTCTTAATGAATATCACCTTGTTTATTATACTGGGGTTGATCAGGAACCACCACATC